AGAAGGCTCTCCAAGAACTACACTGAGTGTTCAGATTATTATGATCTCTGAACGCATAATAATCTGGCCACTCAGTGTGTGTGTGTGTGTGTGTGTGTGTGTGTGTGTGTGTGTGTATGAGACCCTGTGCATGAATTCGTGCATGGGTGGGGTCCAGCCAGCCTGGCCAGCCTGCTGGTGGAACTCCTGATCAAAGGGACAATTTGCATATTAGCCTTTTATTATATAAGATATGCACTGAGTGGCCAGATTATTATGCGTTCAGAGATCATAATAATCTGGCCACTCAGTGTATATGCCACATTGTCTTGCTAAGAGACCAGAGAAGATTGTCTCAGGTATTTGATAGGTGCAGAGACTCGGTTTCACCCTGGGCCTGCTAGCAGCTGCTCCCACTGTGGGAACAGCCACTCATCCCAGTCAGCCAAGTGGTGCTCCCACATTGAGCATCTGACCCCTGGTGATCAGTGCACATCATGGCAACTGGTTGAGCAGTCATTCTGGTCGTTCTGCCATTTAGTCACTGGGCCTTTATTACATAGGATTAGAGGCCCAGTGCATAAAAATTTGTGCATTGGAGGGGGTCCCTCAGCCGGCCTGCCCCCTCTCACAGTCCAGAAGCCCTCAGGGGATGTCCTACTGACAGCTTAGGTCCACTCCCCATAAGGAGCAGGCTAAAGCTTCATCCTGGCCTCCCTCTGCAGGAGGTGACCCAGGCCTCACCAGGGCTCAAAGCTGCCTGAGCCCCAGGATCACAGCCACTGTGGCTTTGTCCAGATAAATGTCCTAATTAGTATATTGCCCTTTTATTAGTATAGATAGCAATGTTCCCACCCATCCCTCAAAAGTCCAAGAAAAAAAGAAAAACAAAACCCTTCTTAGTGGATGTTACTCCTTAGTGATGATAGCTAACAGACATTTTGAAAGAAAAATAAACCACCACGGTATATGGTTGTGGGAAGCAGTGCGTGAAGATGGCACCAACTATCTTTGTGGCCTCCTTGTACCTGCCCTGACCACCACCTGCTTTTCTCCCCTTGCTTTTAGACAAAAGGGCCATGTTAATGCTTTCTCAGGCAGAAAGGCTATATTTGTCTCACTGTGACGGTATGCGTAGCCTGTTCCGATGGAAAGTATCAGTTGCCCTCAGTCCATGTCCTAGTTCTCTTGCTTATTAGCTGTGTAACCTGAGAAAGCCATAATATCCCTGAATAGATACTTCCTCACCTGTAAAATGGAAAGAAATCTACCTGTGTCACCTTTCCCACAGGCTGATGGGATGTAGTCTAAGCGCTTTGAAGCCCCATACAGATGTGCTTTAACTGTGTAAAGGGAGGTAAGAAAATAACTCTAATTAAAGTTTCTAAAGTTCCCTCACTGAAAATAACAAAACACTTCAGCAGAAAAATGTAAAGGAATAAATCACTTAAATCTTTTTAAATATCTTCAAGATAATAATTATGATGAAACTAGAAACACCCATCAGAAAGGATATATGCACCCCTATGTTCATAGCAGCACAATCTACAATAGCTAGAATTTGGAAACAGCCTAGGTGCCCATCAGCAGATGATTGGATCAAAAAACTTTGGTACATCTACACAATGGAATACTATGCTGCCATAAAAAAGAAGGAATTCTCATCATTTGCAGCAACTTGGATGGAAATGGAGAACATCATGCTGAGTGAAATAAGCCAGTCATTGAAAGAAAAACACCACATGACCTCACTCATTTGTGGATAATAAAGAACATTATAAACTGATGAACCAAAAGATAGATATAGAGACAGTATATCAACAAGCAGACTGTCAAATTACAGCAGGGAGGGGAGGAAGATCTGGGGGAGATAATAGATCAACCAAAGGACTTTTATACATGCACATAAGTACAACCAATGGACATAAAACTCTGGGGAGGGAAGGGATGTGAGGGAGGGAGGGGGGGGGGGCAAAAAAAAATCAAAAAATATATATATATATATTAAAAAAAAAAAAGACTGAAGAAAGGACCTCTTTTCCACTATTTCGAATGCTTAATAGCTAATTTCATAACATCACATGTACCATTTTAAGAAAGTGATGATTTAGTGGGAAATTAAAGCTTTGCATCTGTATACTGTAAATATAAATGACGATTTGTTTGAAATGTGTAACTTGGATATGCAAAAGATAATAACTCACAATGTTAATATTAAATATTCCTTCAAAATAAAAAATAAATAAAAAATTAAAAAATAATAATAATAATTATGATGAAAAGTTAAAGGGTTAAGACTCCTGGCCAAAATAAATAAATAAATTAAGTAAATAAATAAATAAATAAATAAATAAAATAAATAAATAAATAATAATTTTAAAAAATGGAATAAGAAAGACTGGATTTTTCCTCCCAGATGAAACAAACAAGTGTGTGTGTGTGTGTGTGTGTGTGTGTGTAATTTTCAAGATACTGGATATTGAGCAATGCAACAGTACCCTGAGAGAGGAAACAAATGCACTGAGCAGATGGAGCTGAGGGTCCCAAAAACCAAGGTGGCTGGAGTTCAGAGCACAGAGTATCAGCGGTGCGAGAGATGTGCAGTCAGAAAACCCTGGAGATGTGCAGAGGGTCCCGGTCCCCCACCCCCCCCACCCCGCCCCGCATTCAGCGGAGTACTAACCAGCACAGGCATGTGAGAGAACTGCTTAAAGCAGAGGGGGAACCACCCAAAAGGATAGCGGGAACAGTAGCTGGCGCTGACACTAGGCATGGAATGGTGCCTATATCTCCCAGTCAGACCAGAAAGCCTCTTCACCCACCAGCACTGGGTAGAGGGCTTAGAATAGTCTTGCCTCTATAGTGGGAAATAATTGGCCCTAAAGTAAACATTGCTCTGTTCCAGCCCAACAAATCTTAAAACAAGAGGATCGAGTTGTTTCTGAGTAACCAAACTACATTCCAGAACAAAGCTTAACAATATTTATAGGAATACAAAAATACCTAGTGTCCAACATGGTCAGAATGACAATGCCTGGCACTCAAAAAATTACCAGGCATGCAAAGAAACAACAATATATGGCTCATAATAATGAAAAAAATATATTCATCAAAACTGACTCAGAATTGACAGCAGATGTGAGAATTAGCAGAGAAAGACACTAAAAGTTACAGTAATTGTTTTTCAAATATTCAGATCTTAAATAGGACAAATACATATTTTTTTAAAGATTCAAATCAAACACCTAGAGATGGAAAACTGCATTGCCTGAGCTGAAAGGTACCTAGGATGGAATTAGCAGTATAGCCATAATAAAATACTACTCAGCAATGAAAAGAAATGAACTATGGATACAACATTGACGAATCTCAAAGTAAGTGTGATGAGTGAAATGATCCAGACAAAAAAGTTGCATACTGTAAAAATCTTTTTATAAGGAACTAGTAGCCCTGCGCACAAATCAGTATGCCAGTAGCTCACCAGTAGCTCACTCCTATCCTCCAGGAGCCCTCCGCCTGCTGCCCCGCCCCTTCCCCCAACACCCCCCTGATAGCTTGCTGCCCTGCCCCCTCCTGTAGCTCTCCACCACCCACTGGTAGCTCGCTGCTCCACCCTCCTGCTGATCCTAGTTAAGCAGTCAGTATTACACTTCAGGGCATAACGACCATTTGCTTATTACATATTTTGCATTCTGAAAGTGCAAACTAATCTATAGTTACAGAAAGCAAATCAATGATTACCTGGTCAGGGACAGGAAGAGATTTCTAAGAGGCACCAGGAAACTTTGGAGGTGATAAATATGTTCGCTATTTTGATTTTTATTATGGTTTTCTGGGCATATACAGATGTCAAAAGTATGCACTTTAAATATATACAGTCTATTGTATATTGATTATAATTCAGGAAAGCTATTTTTAAAAACTAAAGTGGTAAAAGTATATTTAGAAGAACACTGCATACAGCTTGGAAAATAGAGGACTTATATAACCATATGTTTCCTTAAAATTTTGTAAATTTAAATCTGTAATTTTTACTACATCTACAACTATAGTGTCTGTAGCCTATATCTATTGTATAATATCTATAGTATCTAAAATTTGGTTTGGGGTTCTTTCTTTTTTGACAATACATGAGAAAAATCTTTTCCCCTAATTCTTTAAAACAACATATTTTGATGAGTATTTTTTATTTGTTCATTTATTCATTTATTCAATGAAATAATCATTGAATTAGCAAGTACTTGCTAATTCCTTTTGTTTGTTTAATTTTTATTTTTTAATTCTTTATTTTTTAAAGTATTACATATGAATCCATTCCCCCAGCCCCCTGCACTGACCTCTTCCACTCATTCTCACCCTCTGCCCCAGCACATGCCCTCGCCCCCCCCTACTGACTATGTCTATGGGTTAAGCTTATATGTGTACATGCAAGTCCTTTGGTTGTTCTCTCACACACCCTCCTCCCCCCCATACACTGCACCCCCACACACCCCGCCTCCTTCCTGAGGTTGGATGGTCTGTTCGATGCTTCTATGTCACTAGATATATTTTAGTTCATCAGTTTATGTTGTTCATTATATTCCACATATGAGTGAGATCATGTGATATTTATCTTTCTCCAACTGGCTTATTTCGCTTAGCATAATGCTCTCCAGTTCCATCCATGCTTTGCAAATGGTAAGAGTTGAATTTTTTTAATTAAAAAAAAAAAGAACTAAGAGCCAGAGATTCACATGGCAAATTTCAGTTTTCCTTTTTTCCCCCAAAGCTTACTTTATAAATTAATAAAATTCTACACATTTTTAACCATAATTGACCATACTATTGCTTAATTCTGCAGTGGTAATTTACTCCCTTCCTGTTTGATATGAGGTCTGACCTAAAAAGCTCTCTAAGAGCCTGTAATTCCCACCACCCTGCGTCATCAGAGATACAGCGGTGTGAACATGCTCATTATTTTCTTGAATGAAATAATTTGTGTGTTCTTATGTTCCTAATATGTCTGTCCTGGTTTTCCCCAGTTTGATGCCGACCGAGACGAGGATGAGGTATTCTATGACATCAGCATGGCGGTGGACAGCAAGTTATTTCCGAACAAAGAGGCTGCAGCAAGTAAGTCCCTGTGTCCTTCCAGCAACAGTCTGTCCTGATCACCGTCCAGGTGTCCGGGGCTTTGTAGTAAGATTGGAGCTCAACACATTTCTGTGAGGTTTTGAAGATGACGCTGTTCTCAGAGCTTTATACTTTCTGGTCTAAAGATCAAGGTACAAAACAAAGAGAAAAGAAGGCCCTTATTGTTACTTGCCTTTTTTCCAGTCATTACACATGAAAATTAGTAGATAGTCACCATGCAGCATAAGACCTATCGATATACATAAAAGCCTAAGCAACTGTTAAGATGGAATGACCAGAACAACCGGTTGCTATGAAGCATACTGACCACCAGGGGGAAGACCCTTAATGCCGATGGGGCCTGCTGGCCAACCTCCCATTCCCTTCCCCCAACTCGCAAGCCCTGATCACCCAATCGGGGCCAGGCCCCAGAGTTGGTACGGGGAACCAGGGATGGTTAGCGGTGGATGTGAACCTTTCCAAGAGGGGCTGAGGGCCAGCTCCCTTCTTGGGGCCAGCAACTAGCCTCCTGGGTCTCTCCCTGTCCCTCCCCCTGGCCAGCAGGCCCTGATCGGCCTGCTGCCTGCCTGCCTCGGTGGCGGTTGGCCAGCTCCCTCCATCTAGCAGACCCCAATTGCCTGATCCAAGCCTGCTGGCCAATCTCCCAGTCCCCCCCTCTGGCTAACAGGTTTCAATCACTCAATCGGGGCTGGGCCCCAGGCTGGGATGGGGAACCGGGGGTGGGTGGCAGTGGACACGGGTAGCAAGGAAAGGAGGAGGGGGAGAGGCAGGGAGGCAGGGAACACAGGGTGGCAGTGCGTGGGTGGCAGTGTGCAGGTGGCAAGGAAAGGAGGAGGTGGGGAGGTGGAGAACCTGATTGGCCCTGATCTCTGGCCAGGCCTAGAAACCCCGCCTGTGCACAGATTTCATGCACCAGGCCTCTAGTGTTATTATAATTGGAAAAAAAAATCTAATCTAGCCTATACTTTGTGCAAGAATTCAAAGTTCCAATTCCTGCAGGACTCCCTAACCCATACACTTCTCTCCTTTGCCGAGGTTCAGAGGAGGTGGGAGGAGCCTTCTCTCGGATCTGACAGCCACTCCCCCTGACCCGCAGTCCCTGCTGTGGCCCTGCCCCTTCTCTTCCTAGTACTCTCACCCAGCAGTTAGCCGTTGGAGGGTCATGCAGAGCAATCACACCCCCATAGTGGGCCGGTCTCACAGTTCTGTCCTTGATCTTCTCTTCCTCTCCTTTACTCTCCGAGTCCAGGTGGTGTCCATCTTGGCTTCAACTAGCAATTCCATGCGACGACTCTCAAATCTTTGGCCCAGTCTTGATCTTTTTTTCCTCAGTTATGGCCTCAGTGGGTAGAGACCAAAAAAGTTCTAGGCTGCAGAGAAAAAGGCTAACCACTTCACATTTTAAACCATATTTAAAGCCCACTCAGAGCAGCTTTACAGAAAGGCCGGACTAAAAGGCAGGCGAGGCGGTAAACCCACAGAGCACAGAGAGCTGATTCACTCAGCTGCCCACTTTTCCAATGATGTTTGCAAAAGGACGGCCTACTGCAGGGAAGGGTGCAATATTGAGAAGCACATAGGTCAGCTCATCAGACTGCTGCTGCTCTGACGAATGCATGACACTGGTGCTCTTTAGGTTAATATCTTACTTGGAACGTTTATCTGACCTCTAACCACAGATATCTAACTGCCAGCTGTCTTCAGTTTGCTAAGACAGTGGGGAGAGGGGCCCATTTGGGCTGCCCCTCCCTTAGCACTGCCAGCATTTTGAGGCTTTCACGCGGCATTTTTCCAGCGTGGCCTCATCCTGCAATAACGCAGCCGGGCTGGCGTCTGTGCTACGTGGGTAAACTGCCTGAGGACAGGCGCTGTGCCCTTAATCTCCCACCTCCCCTAGGCCCCCTATGCACAGTGCCCACCCTCTGCAGAGGTGTGAAGGGACTCCTTTCCTCTCTACGCCTCCGGCTTCTCGGAGGGTGTTTGTGCTCACGGCTCCGATTTCCACGAGCCCCTTCCACTCCCAGGTCCTAAGAGCTGGTTTCTGCTCCAGCCTTCACAGCAGTCTGTTCTGTCCGTGTCAGCCCTCAGTGAAGGACATGTGGCCGGGAGGCTGAAATAAGCGAAGCCACCTTCCAGGAAGCAGCCACTTCGCAGCTCCTAGCTATTGTTCTAGTGAAGGAAAGGGCCAGGGTTGCCAGATTCATCTCTCTTTGATGAGAAAACAGGAACCTGCACTTGCAGGCAAAATCTCCAGGCTGAGGAAGGCCGGTGACTCACCCAATTAGACAAGCCTTGCCAGTGTCCTCTGCTCTGTGAATTGCCAGCCCTGGGTTTTGTCCCTTTACTCTCCCCTTCTCTCTGCCCCCTCTGCAGAGTCTCAGCTGCCCACGGTTCTCAGATCACTTCCGTGGGAATGGCTTTCAATTCCTTTTTAAACTTTTAAAATAAAAACTATATATGTTTAAGATATGCAGCATGAGAAATGATTGCTACAGTCCAGTAGTTGACATATAGTTATCATTTTTCTGTGTGATCAATGGCACCTGAAATAAATACAAAGTTCCAGTATTCAGAGTATTGCCTACAGGCATCATGTGAACATTAAACGTGTAGACGTATGCATCCTACCTAACTGCATGTGGTACAACGTTAGCCAACATCTCCCCTCTCAGCCCACCAGCGTGCTCCTGGTCACCATCATGCTGCTCGGCGTCTGTGTGCTTGACTTTTTTCTATTCCACATAGAAGTCAAATCATGCAGTTTTCCTCGTACAAGAGAGCAGGGCAAGAATGTTCCTACCTCACAGCCCACACTGGTCCTCTGTCCTCAGGGTCACCTTGGAAGTCCAGTCTTGTTCTCAGTCTCCACCGCACTCACCAAAGTCTGTGTTGTTCCTCGCCCATCCCTGGCCTCTCCTGTCTGTCATGAACACTGTTGTTGCTATGGGAATCTTCCTAGAATGCATCTCTGATCCCTCTGCCTCCCTGACAAAAAATGAAACAAAGTAAAACTCGCAGTGACTTTCCTGCAGGCTGAGCACCAGTGCCCTTAGCATAGGGAAATACCCTTGGCTTTCCCTCATTGTCCTGTTCCCTCTGAGCATCTCCTCTCCCCTCACCCTCACCAGCTTCCAGCAGGGTCTCAGAGACCTCAGGTATCTTCCTGCCTCTGGCCATTTGCACAAGTTGCTTGGGAACACCTGGGCAAGCATGTCAAACTCGCAGCTGGCGGGCCACCTATGTATCCCTGTACTCTCCTAGCCCCGTCCATCACCTGGTCAGATCCTTCTTTGTATCTCAGGTCAAATGTGATTGCTTCAGGAAGCTTGCTCAGGCCCCATCCCAGACTAGATTAGGCCCTGGAGTGGTACTCTGAACTTTTCTTTCAGGGTATTTATCATAATTGTGATTATATAATTAGAACTATGATTATTTGTTTTTAAAAAATATATATTTTCATTATTTTTAGAGTGCAGAGGCTTCAAAAGGACAGTGTGTGTGTGTGTGTGTGTGTGTGTGTGTGTGGCTGTGCATGTGTGAGTGTGCATGTGTGTGTGTGTGTGTGTGTGTGTGTCTGGGGCTGTGCATGTGTGAGTGTGCATGTGTTTGTGTGTGTGTGTGTGTGTGCATGTGTGTGTGTCTGGGGCTGTGCATGTGTGAGTGTGCGTGTGTGCATGTGTTTGTGTGCGTGCGTGCGTGTGTGTGTGTGTGTGTGTGTCTGGGGCTGTGCATGTGTGAGTGTGCATGTGTTTGTGTGTGTGTGTGTGTGCATGTGTGTGTGTCTGGGGCTGTGCATGTGTGAGTGTGCGTGTGTGCATGTGTTTGTGTGCGTGCGTGCGTGTGTGTGTGTGTGTGTGTGTGTGTGTCTGGGGCTGTGCATGTGTTTGTGTGTGTGTGTGTGTGCATGTGTGTGTGTCTGGGGCTGTGCATGTGTGAGTGTGCGTGTGTGCATGTGTTTGTGTGCGTGCGTGCGTGCGTGTGTGTGTGTGTGTGTGTGTGTGTGTGTGATACCCAGTGTGAATCTCACAGGAGATGGCATAGAAGGCCTTTCCCTACTGGTCACCTCCGCTGGGCCACTCAGCTGAGTACGCCGACTCACAGCCCCCCTACATTTTCATTGGCTCCGGAGCAGAGGGTACGTTTGTGGCCCCCATGCCATAGAATGCTATTCCCTGAACCTCTGCACCCCTCCAGCCCATCTGCAGTGTCCCCACTCCCGCAGCCCTCCATGAATGCTTCTAGAGGGGCCATGGGATCCAGCACTCAAGTCCCTCTGGGCCTCAGAGAATTGTGAACAGGAAGGGCTATGAGTGTAAAACCTGTGGCTGTCACATGGAAAAGACAGATAGATATGTTAGCGCCCCTTCTGCGGATTTGAGGAGTCCCAAGGACAGACCACATCTTACCAAACACAACTCTTCCCCGTTTCCCTAGGTCTGCTTCTGCTCTCCCTCTCTTCCTCCCTCCTTCCGCCCCTTCCCTTCTCACCCAGAACGGTCCACCCACACCAGATCCCTCAAGGAGCTCACTTTTAGTCCCAACTACTGTCCACATACTTTTCAAAAAAGAAAAAAGGTCTTAAGTAATTCAAATGAAAAACTGTGACTAACACCTTGCACGCTTGTTGGAATTAGCGCTGGCTGCTCCCCCCGGCTGGTGGGTAATGCCTGGAGCACTTACGGGGGCTTTAACGTTTTTGGAGCAAATGAAGATCAAGATCTCCAAAAGTCTGATGTCAGTGTCCTTTTATTCACTTTTCAGTCCTTTGGCATATATGTGTCCAATGCGTAGGATTTCTAAGCACCGTTCTTAGAATCAGAGATGAAATGTGCCCTACCCAAAGCTGCTTATAATTTAGTAGGAGAGACAGGACCGGGAGAGGCCGCTTTCCTCAGAGGGGCAGATGAAGGGCTAGAGGAGTTCTATCCACCTTTCACTGCCCAGAAGCCCTGCCTGGAAGGAGAGTTTCTTTATTCGGTACTCAAAGCGGGAGGAGGACATTCCTGAAACTTCAGGTTGAAGATCCACTGGGAGGAGAGCGCCTGGAGCATCATCCCAGAAAGCAGTTCGGTTAGCCTTCTGCTACCGCTGAAGCCAATTTGTATCATCTTCCCATTACATTTAAGGAAACGACCCGGAAATAATATTACCAAAGACCATTCTGCATCTAAAACTAGTGACACTGAGTGCTCCCTGTGGGCTTTTTATTCAGATCATATTTTTCTCTGGTGTCTATAGAAAGGATATTTTTAAAGATGAAAAGAAATCAAGAAGTTCAAAATTGGGGGAAGTGAAAGCCATACTATCACTTTTTTCAAATGTCCTAATTTTGCTCTCTTCTTTGGGTAACAAGAGAATTCATTGGAATTGTTTAATATGCTAAATTGTCCAATGAAAAAAGGCAAAAATGTGTACATATGGCCACATTTACCTCCCTATTTTAAATGTCAAACCTTAGACTATTATTAAAGGTCTCATTTTCAGCAAACCAAGCAACCAACACAAAAGAAAATGAAAGCTATTCAGTCATTATCTGAGCTGATAATGACATCCTTTGTCTGTTGCCTTCTATAATATATTAGTACTGTACTGTTGCCAAGAGCAACAATGTGTCAAGAAATTCCTTCCCTTTATGATACAACAAAATTTCTGTCAAAAGCGTTTTATTGGGAAAGCCAATCTCTTCCACTGGTTATGGGTTAATTGTTTTTTTAAACAAAGATCTCTTTCTCTCTCTCTCTCTCTCTCTCTCTCTCTCTCTCTCTCTCTCTCTCGCTGAAAACAGTTTTCTAATAATCTTGTTCCAGTTTCAGATATTAATGTGTAATATCTCCTAACTGGGCTATGTACAAGCCCTTCCCTTTGTACTCTTTTAAAACAACCAAAAGAACAGTTTCTAATTAAATAAAGTAAGTAGGACACAGGAACTAAAGCAGCTACATGTTTAATAAGCCTTTGTGTTCATATCATGTTGCTCACTTCCTATGAATCGCTGTAAATAAGTTATGTGAGATGAGGGAGTCGTTTGAGTGCCTATCTCCACTTCCACTAGGCAGTGGTCAGTAATAGCCATACTATGGAAGGAGTGAAAACCAAATAACACCGCCTTCACCTTGAATGATGCTGTCACTAGCAGCCCCTTGGTTGTCACCGGCTGGAGGGACACTCCTCGATTCTACTTCCAATTCTTCCTTTTCTGCAGCCACTCAGGAACCCGTCTCATCATCAGCCATTCATTTTCTCAGAATGTAGAGGAGACGGCAGGTCCTCCAGGTCCTCTCCTACTGAGTGCAGGAAGGAAAGATCAGTTATAAAGCCATTGGGATGGCTCCTGCTTAAAATTTGGAGTCAGTTGACGTGTAGGAGGGGACTGTGATTTCTGTCCTTGTCTCACTTTCTGCAGGACCTGGGCCAAGTTATTTGACTTCTCCGCACCTCATGTTTCTCTTTTCTAAAATGAGGAGGAGGACGTCTGTGAAATACTGGTTCAGAAATGTCTGTGCTCTTATCATGGAAAAATAAGGCGTTCCACTTCTGACATATTTCCTGCCTCACACACATACATGCAAACTGACCTTTATTGGTAAACTGGGCCTTCAGACAGTCAGGTATCTTGGCCCTAAGGTACACTGTATACAAAACTAGAGGTCCAGTGCATGAATTCGTGAATGGGTGGGGTCTGGCCAGCCCGCCCCGATGGGAACCCATTGGGTGGGACCAGCTGGGGGGAGGAGCTGCAGGAGGGCTCCAGGGAGTGTCCAGCCCATCTCTTTCAGTCCCGATCAGCTGGACCCCCTCAGCAAGTTAACCTACTAATCAGAGCGTCTGCCCCCTGATGATCATTGCGTGTTAGAGCAAGCAGTTGAGTATCCTTAGCATATCATTATTACACTTTGATTGGTTGAACAGATGACCAGTCACTTAGCATTATTAGGCTTTTATTATGTAGGACTTTTTTAAGTATATTTTATTGATTTTTTTTACAGAGAGGAAGGGAGAGAGATAGAGAGCTAGAAACGTCGATGAGAGAAAAACATCGACCAGCTACCTCTTGCACACTTCCTACCGGGGATGTGCCCGCAACCAATGTACATGCCCTTGACCTGAATCGAACCTGGGACCTTTCAGTCCGCAAACCAACGCTCTACCACTGAGCCAAACCGGTTTCGGCTATTATGTAGGATTTTATTTGAAAAATACCAAAAGCAAAAAAAGAGAGAGAACAAAAACACCAGACACACAAAAATATAAAAAGTATATATTATAATGCCACTTTAAAAAATTATATATGCATAATAATATTTTTGTGTATCACCCCTCTAGTCTCACTCTGTTGATAGGGTGTGGTACATAGTCTTCCACACCCCTCCTCCTGAGCACCTTATTAACCATGGAATTGTCAAGTGCCCCACACACCTATGCGACTCTCAGTAGCAGCCCTGCAGTTAGCTGCTTTTCCAAAAATGGTTCAATGGGTCAGTTATATCCCTTTTGAAAATTTTCATTATCCAGAAAAATATTTTAAAGATACAAACAATAAACAGTAGCGTGACTGCTTAGTACTTAGTCTGGTAAGCAGCAGGGCTAATGATGAGAAGAGTTGAGAAAAACACTATGCAAGGACCTACCTAGATTCTCTTTGCAGAAAAAGTGTGAAAGCAGCCTCCCCAGAGAGGTCCACACCTGAGATGTTTTCATCAAAAATCGATCTTCATTCAACATTACTCATTGCATATTGTGGCCAGGAATTATTTGACAAGGCTAAGTTTAAAATTTTCGAAACGTGGAGTCGTTTATTTCCTTACAGGATGCATAGTGTTTTATGGGCAGCTCTGACTTCTATCTTTCTGGTTAATTAGATGATTTCTACAGGGACGGGGAAAAGTAGGCTTACCAGGGGTTCAGGGATGCATTTATTTTTATATTACTGGTTATCTACTGGTTTGTATGACTCTGTAGACCTACTTTTGCCCACCCCTGCATTTCTCAGCAGGAGAGAGTCGCTGGAAGAGAATGATGAATCAGTTGTGCTCCAGGAGCCCCATTATGAGCCTTTGGGGGCCGTTGGGTAGGCAATTCAATGTAACCTGTGGACCCAGGGAGGAAAGATCCTATTAATACACTAAGTTGACCTGATTTTTCTCACCTTCAGGGACATGTGGGATGCAAAGGCTGAAGGGAAAACTCAGGTTCTCATGGACCGAGCAAATCCAGTATATCTTATTCCTGGGAACCCTTGCTCTTCTCCCACTCTGGACTTGGCTCATGTTCCCTCCACCTCAGTGTCTATCCCACACCCCCAAACTGCTTTCCTCTGGGGCAACCCTATGCACCTGCACAGTTCAGGCTCATAGATTCATTCCTCATGAAGGATCCCACCTCCACCAACACCTCCACTACAGGCGGAAGTAGCCTTCTCTTTTTGGTTCGTGAACCTTGCTATCGACAAATCCATCTCCTTCACAAGTTGTCTTCTTCTTAAGGGTGGAGACAGTGTCCACAGTGTCTGCATTTTCTGTCTGCAGGCCAAACAGTGCCTGGCAGATGGGAAGAGTCTAGATATGTTTGTAAATTTAATGTAATCGGGATGACAATATGGAATCCTAGTGGAGGATTGTTTGCACTCGAAATGTACTTGGACAGGCTCCTTAGGTCATCTTCTCTTTTCTAATCTTAGGTTCAGGTGACTTTGATTCTTCGATGATGTTAGACTCTGGAGAGATCGCTGACACAGGATCTGATTATGAAGACCAGGTAATTAAAATCTAAACACATTTCGCTGTTTAAGTAGCTTTAATTTTAGCCTTTGTTAATGTTTCCTTGAAAATTAGAATTACAAATCACTTTGAGAAATGTTTGCAGTAGCATATATCCTGTAATAAATCGTAATAGCCTACAGCTTTCACTCATTAAATTCGGTCCTTTAGCTTGTCCTTATCCACAGTTATAAAATGGCAATAAATTAAGAAAAGGTTTGTGGTCAAAAGTTGCAATCGATAGAAATGAGGCTACCAGAGTTATCTTGCCCAAGAATTTGCCTGTATCTCTATCACTTAATCCATAATAAACCAAAGATACTTATTAAGCACTGGCTACAGGTTTGGGGATCTGCTTTCTATGCCTAACTTTGTGAAAGGAACTGGCTGATGGCCAAGGACAATTCAGCCAGGGAGTTAAATATGTTTTCTATTGGAATAAAAGCAAAGAAATTTATCTGGGTCATTTTCTTCTCGGCAGAAGAACTTTCCCTACTGCTATATTTTAATCTTCCAAAATAATTGGCAGATGATCCAATCCTCTCATCAGGCCTTGCTTTTTTTTTTTTTAAAAAAAAGGGTAATGTCCAAAAATCCTTCCCACCTCTCACCAATGCTCCTCTGCAATGGCTGAGCGCCAGGTGGACATGGGCTGGGACTTCTTCCCATCTTCAACTAATCACGTATGTCTCCAATAAAGCAGGTGGGGCTGACCACTGTTCAGACTTAATGGCTGGCTACATATTTCACATACATATGCAGAAGCTATTTTCACAAATGTTAAGTTCCCTTTCCTTATATCACAAAGCAAGAAGTTATTGATGAGCCACATAATGGTGCATACTTATTATATATTTTAGCATTTATTAGGCGCTTAATATATACTAAACACTGTGCTAAGTTTCTTCATTTGATTATCTCACTAATTCCTCACTACCTCATTGGGAATCAGGAATTATTATCTTTAGTTCCTAGACAAGAAAATTAAGCAAAGAGTGATTTGCTCACAGGTTTCACCGTGGGGAGATAAACTTCGAGCACATTCCCTGCCTCCTTTCTTAGCTTCCAAATGCTACCCATTCACTGATATATTTTTGGAGCCTTTTCAGTTGGTAACCCTTAAGATCTCAGCAGAGGCACACACCAGACAACCACTATTGAAGATGAGTTCACAATCCAAAATTACAGGCGGCACAAAGAAAAAACCATAACAAGAAATCCAGCTGGTTCAACAAATGAAAGACTTCATACCCCAAAAACTAGAGATAACAGGAAAGTCTGAAAGAAATGTTAATGTTGGAATGTTTTTTAAATATATATTTTTATATTGATTTCAGAGAGGAAGAAAGAGGGAGAAAGAGATAGAAACATCAATAATGGCCCCTTCTGCATGCTCCTTACTGGACATGTGCCCTGACTGGAATCAAACCATGACCTGGTTCACAGGTTGACACTCAGCTGGACCAAAAAAGGTTTTTTTTACATGTGACTTCCAAAGGGAATATGGATGGGAAGGAAAAGAGTATGAGGAAAACTGACCTGCTCTTAATTGTACATTACCTCTTCTCACTCGTTTGACATTCCCATCTCCCTACACGCAAGAAAGCTGGAAAACAGAGCTTACTCCGTGTCCAGGAAGAGAGAGATCCATTCTGTGAGCACTGAGCCAGCCTGGGCCACAAAACTCTTGCCCCAGTGTATTCCTCTTTTGGTGCTCCTCATATGTGCCCTCGTTCATTCTTGGTTTCCTCATTGGACTCCTCTCTGTCAGTTCATTGTGTCAATGCGGGTGCTCCAGCCCCTTCACGCCTCGTTGCACACATTCTGTTTTGAGAAGCACAGTCATAGCCATGGTTTCGGATATGTCTGCCTGCTAAACAGCAATGGTTGGATTTCCCATGTGCATCTCAAAATCAACACATCCAAAAACAAACTCACCATCTTCCCCCACAAAATCTCTTCTTCCTTCTATTTTCCCTATTTCTGTGAGTGATACCACCATTCCCCCAGCTGCCCACGCCAGAAACCAGGGCGTCCTCCTCACCTTCTTCCTTTCTCTGTCTCCCTACGTCAGTTTGATCAGAAGCCAGCCAGTTTTGTGTAAGAACTGCTCCTCATCTCTTCAGGGCCCCCTCGCCTGGTTCATACCCTCAGCTTTCCTCCATGGGACCCTGAGACAGTGTCCTAACCACTGTCCCCTCCTGGGCTCCTTGCCCATCACATTCATCTTTCTGAAAAGCAAAGCCCGTCATGGTAGCATTCTACTGCTTAAAACCCTCTGGACTTCTCATTAAGGTCAGAATGAAAATAAAACCTCTGACCACATACATCGGAATCTTCAGATTAGAATCTGACCACCTACATCCGTCCCCCAACTTATCCCTTGCTAATCTTCAAAACAGACTGAATGCTCCGGCCACACCAAGCCTTTTACAGTTCCCCCACGTGGGCTGTGCTTTGCACAGTCCCTTTCCTCCATCGCCTCTGCCCCAGATAACCCCGGCTCCTGCTTCTTCGGACCAGGCTTCTCCTTGGGGAGCTCTCTTGTCCTCCTCAGGGGGCCCACAAAACCCTGTGTTGTCTATTCTCCTGTATTGCAGGGACTCTGTTCTGCTCTGAGTGTCTAATATGCTGCCACACAGCCTGGTACACAGCAAGTGTTCAGTAAATGTCCATTCCTTTAAAAGCCGATAAAATGATTTCTAGTTCTTCTACTTAATATGGGATTTTTCTGATGATGCGCTAACACTTTTGAGCCTGGGTTTCCTCTTCTAGAAAATGATAGTGATGACTCCACCAAGAATTACTGTTGAGGAAAGTAGGGAATGCAGGTTACCTCATTCAGAACAAATGCCCCAAAAGTGTGAACACCCTTTTTTTTTTTCTTGCTCCAAACTCGACTTAGACTGAACTTTTCAGGAATGGGTGTCTTTCTGTGGGTGGCAGAGGCCTCCGTAGCTTCGGCTGGATGAATGCTAATTGTCTGAACGCTCCTGGATTCCATCTGGCACATAGGTGCTTAGAAGCCACCACTCTGCCCTAACAACAAGTTAAAAGCTGAACAAACTGAAAAATCCACAATTCTCAGGTCTGCTCGAGAAGTGAGGCCACTAGGCAAATCACTACACCAAAACCCCTGGGAACAGAAACCCACAGACAAGGATCTCCTCAGGAACCAGTGCCCTGGAAACCCAGCCGTCACTGACAAACTGCCAGAGGCTCCTGTGGGCAGGTCTGAGAGTTGAAAACTCCAGGAGGCCCAGGCAGAGAGGTCCCCCACACTCCTGTGAGCTTCACCTCCAGGAACTTGACCAGGTCCCCACAGTAAGTGTCCGAGAGAAATCTCCTTGTGCTTCCGGCTGCGGGAGGGTGGAAGGAGCCTTTTTCAAAATACCCAGAGCACTCTGTCCTTCCTAACAAGGGCTGCTCTCAGGAGACCTCAGCTGCTGGGGCTTCATCAGAGCCTTACCGCCTCGGAGAAAGGCTATACCAACTCCCTCCACCTCCAGCCATTCTGCCCCGCCTCAGGGGGAGAAACTAAGAAGCAGAGGGGAGGTGTGCAGCATAAGGACACAGGCTCACCAGGGGGCTGAGACCTAATCTCAGGACTGCATGCCCTTCATAGAGCACTTGCCATCCTCCCCACAACTTCCCACCACACGACTAACACTTTATTTACTGCCGTGCCTTTTACCTAGCGCCGTGGTCGGCAAACTGTGGCTTGTGAGCCACATGCGGCTCTTTGGCCCCTTGAGTGTGTCTCTTCCACAAAATACCATGGCCTGGACAAGTCTATTTTGAAGAAATGGCATTGGAAGAAGTTTAACTTTAAAAAATTTGGCTCTCAAAAGAAATTTCAATCGTTATACTGCTCATATTTGGCTCTGTTGACTCATGAGTTTGCCGACCACTTCCCTAGTGCATCGTGTCCAGCTTCCAACAAAAAATTACAAGACATATTCAGATGTGAACACACAGTCTGAGGAGACTGAACCAGCATCAGAACAAGAGCCAGATATTCAACTTATCAGAAAAAGAGTTTTGCTTTGTTTTTAATAAACGTTGGTTAATATGCTAAGGGCTTAGATGGGAAAAGTAGACAATATACAAGAACAGATGGATAATGTAGGCAGAGAAATGGAAATTCTAAAAAGTATCAAGAAATGCTAAGGATGAAAAACACTAACAGAAGTGAAGAATGCCTTTGATAGGCTCATGAATGGATTGAAAATGGCTGAGGAAAGAACCTCTGAGCATGCAGATATGACAATAGAAACTTACAAACTGAAAGGCAAAGAGAAAAAAAGCCTGGGAGGAAAAAAAAGAATAGTGTATTCAAGAAATGTGGGGCAATGACAAAAGGTGTAATATACCTGTAATGGGATTACTGTAAGGGGAAGAAAGAAAGAGAAAAAATATTTCAAGTAATAATAACTGAGAATTTCCCCAAAATTAATGGCAGATACCAACTCACAGATACAGGAAGCTGAAAGAACACTAAGCAGGATAAACATTTTTTTAAAATTACACCTAGACATATCATATTCAAGCTGCAGTATGTCAAAGAAAAGAAGCCAGAGGAAAAAAATTGCTTTTCTTTAGAAAAGGAGAAATAAACGCTTTCTCAGACAAAAATTTGTTGCCTTGTAAGAAATGTTTAAAGAAATCATTTAGAGAGAAGGAAAAGGATACCGGCCAGAATTCAGAAAAAGAACGGAAAAGTACCAGAGAATGTATAAGTGAAAGTAAAAAAAAAAAAAAAAAAATCTTTTGTTTTTCTTATTCTTAATTGCTCTAACAGACAGCAGTTTGTTCAAAACAATCGTAGCAACAATATATTTGATGGCATGTGCTTAAGTATAAGTGGAATGAATTACAGCTATTCTGCAAGGGACAGTAGGAAGGAATTAGGAATGTTCTGTTATTAACATAAAGGGCCAGAGAAAGAGACACCATGCTGACACTCATCAAAAGACAGCAGGAGTAACTATATTAATT